AAAAAAAAAAAAAACAATTGTATATGCTGTCAAACTTTACGCTGACCGTCCATTAACCGCACTTGAAAATTTGCAGAAAATTTAAATCACTTTTTAACCCGAACAAATCTTCAGGTTTCCTGACGCAATTTTTAAATGTGATTCAAATTATCCCAATCTGTTTTTACTTTTAATTATCACAGTGATCTTACCCTTCTACAAACAAAGCGCCACTCTCTAACTACTGGATTTTATTCCCTTTTCTGGCAAGCTGCCTGATGCCAACTTGCTCACGTTCCCAACCCCGATTTCAAAATCACCTTATACTTGAAAAAACTAGTAATTAGTTTTTAATCAGTAAATTAACTCTCCAGTAATGTATTTCAGGCAAACACATTTTGTATATTTTTGGGAAAAAGCCGATTACTATCTTGCAAAGCTTCTGTTTGAGAACCCATGACTTTCTTCGACCTCTAACAAGTTCTGAAGAGCCGAGATTTTTTGACAGATTTCGTTTCTTATATGTAGAGAAAGGTATTACTATATACGCAAGCAACAGTAATTACATCGAACATAAAAACTCAAAACGACAGAGTTACAAAGTGTAGAGCTAAAATTTTATATGAAATTCTAAGTCACAAAACATTTTAAAATTTCAAAACGTGCTTAGAAGGAATCAAATGCTACAGAACAAAATTAAGGCAGAAGAAGCAAAAACGCTAAATAAAGAAATATTTCGCAGTTGAAACAAAGCAAAAGACAACTACTCATCTCATTTATTGCTAAAAGATTGAAGATCAAAAAACACTATAAATATGCAATTTTTTGGGCTTCCACTTAAAATCCTTTATAAAGAGAAGAGTTACATAAGAATTAGCTTTCAAATGACTTGTAAAAAAACAGACATCTTTCTAAGCCCATCTCAGCATGCTTCACTTGACAGTTTAATCTTCCCTCCTTGTACGGCAAAAGAGCCTGTTCCCAATGCTGTATTTAATTAAATTTGTTTGTTGCTATTTTATTTTTGGCTCCTGAAGCCAGTAATGCAGCTCAACAAATATTTTGCCACTGCTTAAAAAGTTACTGAGTAAAAAAGCCTGAGGAAGAACCAACAGTTCTGGTAATGTTACTGTGACTTGAGAGATTTAAATGAGGTTACTATAGAACTCAAAAGCTATAATATAAAACAGATTCAAATGAAGAAGCAGAAAAAGATCCATGCCCAGCTGTCATATAAATATCTAAAATATACTACATATCGATTCCCGAAGCAAATAATGACTTTTTGCACTAGTAAATGAATATAAATGTTTGCACGCAGACAGGAACTGCTTTCAGAAGATCGCGAAGATGGAAAAAAAAAGAGAAAGAGCACGCTTAATAGGTTTAAAATGCTGGTACTATTAGTAAGTTATACAAAATCATTATTAGAAGACCTACACAGATTATTAACCTAAAACGAAAAAAAAAATAGTGGCAGCATTTCCAAATAACCGACACCCTTTGAAAACATTCAAATTTATCTAATGTAATACAAACGAAATGGTTAAAAAACCAACAAAGTTGAGTGAAGGTGCATCGTCATCGGAAAGGCTGAAGAAGAATGCTTCAACTGGAAGAGTTACGTGGGGCGAGCAAAAAGAACCACTTGCAGCTGTAAAAGCAAATTACAGAATAAAGGAAGAAAAAGATAAAAGATAAAACGGTGGTTGCCGTCATCGCAGCTTTTAGAAAATAAATATTTACTGATCTGCAGTTGGAATCCTTCGACAGAAGCGAACGGTTCTAACCGGCCGTTTAATATACTTTCTTCAAAATTACACAGTAATCCACTACTAGTTGCACTAGTTTTTGTGGGATTCAGTTTTTCACTATCGCTTTGGCTACTGTCTTCATCACCGTACCTAAAACTGCAAACCTAATAAATTGAGCATTCTTAGTAATATCAGAAAAGAAGTTCATATATCTATCAAAGCACTACTGTCTCAGCTAACATAAAAGAAGTTATAATTTCAGCCGTATTTGCTCCATGTAACTTTGAAAAAAAAAAGGTAAGTAGAGGAAGACTTTTTTGGCCGCTAACCGAGTCAAAAAAAAGAATGGACTTACAGAAGTTTAATACGGTACTATCGCAACTAACGACTATCAATTAAAAAATGTTTATCATCTGCACAATTTATTCACTTTTTTCATGTGAGGTTATCAGTCCCGCTGCATCCATCTCATGCTTATTCAAAACCTCCACATATTTCCTTGCCTTCTTCACCTACACAGTTCCAAAAAATGGCATTAATAATGTATAAGAGTAATAATGTCAACTTTAGATCAAACTCCAGTCAAAATTTACTTCCCCGTCTCCTTCTTACCTTCCTACTGCTTTAATAATGTATTCAGAAGAATGGAATACAACGCTCCACGAAGACTGTTCTAAAAAACTTTTTTTTTCAGTTTTTACATATGTTGTTTTGACTAAGAAGGGCACTGACCTAAACCAAGCAGAGCGTTCAAGCAAACAGCACAGAGAAAACAACACCAGTCAAATCAAAAAGCGAAGAGACTTTATAAATTTCAGGTGACGATTTTTGTGACGCGCATTTTCTCCGCAAAGAATTTTCAATGAACCTATGCAGTGGAATGGTGAAGATTCGAGAAATATCGAGGTTATGACTAAACAGACTCTCAAAACGACCAAAAGAAAGACAAGAAATAGAGAAAGGTTTCACTGATAACAAACTTATGTTTATTTGGTTGGATCATAGCCTTTCAAATTTTCAAAGCTGCAGTTCCAAAACTGTCACGCTTTCAATGGTTTACATTACCACCTGAGCGGTAGTTTTGCGAAACCATAGAAACGGTGGAACCTTAAAAAGTTATATGGGTAACTTCTGCTCAAACCGCGACAGATGAGTATAATAGAATCAGACCACTACACACAAAACGTAGAATTCCTGAACAAAAAAAAAATTTTCTGAGTAAACTGCAGTAACACTATACCTTGACATTTCTATAAGATTTAAAGAATAAGAACATAAAAAAAACTAACCCTGCAAGCGGTACTGTTTCGGCTTTTTTCCCCTTCCGGTGATGAGAAGGGGCAGGACTAGAATTTAAAGGTAAACCAGTTTTTTTTGAAAATAGTGTAGATGAGCCCGGCATGAAACGGAAAGCAGATAGGATACGAAACCTGCGAGGTACACACTGTCGCCGCGAGATGAAAGAAGAATGAATACTCTGTTCCTTTGTCAACGAAGAAGATTCAGCCAATGCGTTAGCAAGACTTTCCACTTCAATCGACTGGGCTGAAAATCACTGGTAACTCATTTTCATTTCTTCGGTTCGCGAACTAAAAACTATGTCTTTAAATAAATTGAGACAATGCCCAGAAAATACAATCGTCGTTTCAAGTACCCTGTGGTAAACGTTGAAATATTTTTTATCGAACAAACTAAAAGTTGGAGTGACTTCCGAAAATCAAAAAAAAAAAAAAATGGAAATTTTCCCATCACTCAAACAAGCGCTGGTCTAAAATACTTGAAAGTTTTTAAACAAGTTCACAATAAAATCTCATAAACAAAACCTTTTGAAGTCGCAAATTCCTCGAAATTGTTAATCAAGCAAAATTTTGGTGAATCTACGCTGACTGGATCAACAATGCTTTCATCCAGAAAACTTCTTTTTCTTGGAGGTCTTTCCAGTCCATCTTCAGTATCGTGACAGCGAGTTTTTCGCGAAAACGTCTGAGGTTGAAAAGACGACCCGATAGCATGCGCAACGGGAGCCGACGATTCCGTAAGAGACTGGTCACTAATGTAATGGAGTTCCTGCTCATGACTCGAAGTTGATGCCGAGTAGATGCCAGAAGAATCTTCTCCGTCTTCTATCTCCAATGGACCTTGCAGACTGGAATTTTCATCTTCAATATGCCGCGCAAAGTCTATTTCACCATGCAGGTAAGAGAAGGACGAATTTGGCGATAGCAGTGGCAAAGCTGATGACCATTCATGAATTGAACAGCTAGAAAAACTTATCAACAGTAATTTGAAAAGTTTTTGCTGCAAATTCTTCATAAAAATAAAAAAGTACAATTATCTGATAAAATACAAGCTTCCTTAGCTATGAATGAACAAAGTTTTTGAGAAATACACTAAAAGTAATAAGCTATTTTCCAAACTTTACAAAAATTTAAAAAAAAAAATGCATAAAAGCTTACTTTTAGAAAGAACAAAAATCATATCAAAAACTGGTGTCGTAAAGTAAAAAATCTGCCCCTAACTGATTTATTTATTTACTGCTGAAGGGATAAGACAAATGGTAACTTATCACAGGACTGCAGTGAACCAATAGCTTACTTGGAAAAGTTTAATGAAACTGATCAAAGTGGAGAAAAAGTATACAGAAGAATTTTAATTTTTAATGGGGGTTCTGCTCATATTAACAATTTGAAATTTCGTTCTCAACTAATCACAGAAATTTAGTTTGTAAAGCAGAAGTAACTTCAGGGCACAATCAGCTGTTTCGCTCAAATCTTTCGTGATACGGTAAGGTCGTAAACACAATTTTTCACAGTCACGGATGTTATTTCCTTATCGAAAACTACGACAAAATTCTTCGCATCTTACACATCTGAAAACTGTATTGCGCTGGCTATTACATAAAATTAAGTCGCTCTGTTGAATAAAAATTACAAATGCCTAATATTCGTAAAGTCCATTTTGGTCTGAGCAGCAGTAATTGTGAACGTTGATTTGGCGTTCGAAATTACACGGCAAATTAAAGAATTAAATTTTACTGCTCTCTCAGAAAAATTCCTAACTAGGTCAGTAAAATCAATAATGCCATCACGACAGCAGCTTGCAACCTAGAAGAGGAAAGCAGAAGCTTTCTTCTTTATAAGAGCACATTTGCATTTTAACAAATATCCAAGGCTGAGCTAAGTGGCACGATGTTAATGAAAAATGCTGAAGTCTAGCACAGTAAAACGATCTGACTTATAAATAGCGAACAGAAAAATAAAAAACAACTTGCTGCAGGTTCTCAAGCAACGTGTAAGCAAAACTAAGAAAAAGACTGCAAGTAGAATTCTAACCCGCTCTTGTCAATCGACTGGCAACTAGGTAAGAGAGGTGGTGAAGAAAACTTCATGCATTTTACAGAAACTGTCAGCAAAGAAGACAACCCGCATTTGGCGGTTGGAAAGACGTGGTTTTCTATTAACCTGTCGTCCTTGTTCAAAACCCTATCCGTTTCACAATGAGTACCCGTAAATTCATCGCGAGTAATTCTGAAAATAAAAAGAAAATTAGGCGAAAAACCCGGCCGAATAGTAAACGAACTCTAAGACGGCGAATATTACGCAAAGGGTATCTTCACAAATTAAAGTACTATTACCACCTGTATACAAACACCAGACCATTAGGCAGTTTGCCGCCGTTATTTATCATCCAAGAATTTAACTGAGAAAAGTGGAGTTGGGAGCGCACAGCATTCTTTAAAAAAAGCGGGTCCAAAGCCTTAAATTTCACAAGCAGAATCAGAAACAAAGGTTGAGCTAAACCTTCAATAAACAAGATAAGTTTGACTTACAGCATTTTTGGCAGCTCAAATAAACAACTGACCTTAGCCAATTTTCCTGGGTGTTGGTTGGAACTTAATGTGATGGTCCATGATTCAATCAGCAAAGCATTCTCACAAAGAGCGTCAGCACGAGCACACTGTTCATGAACCAATAGTGTTTCGATTCTAACAGGTTTTTCAACGGACAAGATATGTTCAGCTTCTTTAACACTAGCGTTTACCAAGCTCACTTCATTCTTAAAAACTCCAGTGATTCTGCTCTCAATAATTATACGTGCTATTTCAGCCCCAACTTCCATCTCCAACGCCAGATCTGTGTAAGGTCCAGTTGTGCGAATCACATTCTTGATAACTGAAAGCTGAAATAGATAACAGTTCCAGAATAACAATAAAGATCTAAAAATTTTAGACGATTAGCGGGGCCATATGGATATCATAAAACAATAATGATAAATCAGAATACAAAAATCTAGCAACAAACTGTTTTTTTTCTGAGATCGTGTTAAACCAATGAGCAACATTTTATACAAAAAACAACAGTAAAAATTGTCGCCTAAAAGCAGTCCCGCTCATTAAATAAATTCTGCCAAACCACTCATACCTGAAGTAACAAATTTACAAATACCGCTAGAAAAAAAGAAAAATTATAAGATAAATGTCTCAAATCCTAGACCGTATGGTACTGCTACAATCTACAACATCCGCAGTGGCTGCTTATTTCCCCCTAAGGTCACTTGTTCTGCTTAATTTCTGACGGGTATATATAGAGCTACGTCCGTATGTCGTTATTTTACTAACAATCAGCACTTTCTATTATGAAGTACACAGACGTGACTTATTTCCATCTATTGCTATTTAAAGGGAGAGCAAGAAAACAAATGCCAACTGCTATTGTGGTCAGATTATTGGCACAAATTGATTCTTTAAAAGAAAAATTTTGAAAGACTTGTACTAATTCCAAAAGAGGAAGCCCACTTAAAAACCACAGCATACAAAGGGTTATGAAGATTGTAAGTTGCAATTTAACTGAAGTTGAAGTCATTAAATGAATTATATTGGAACAATCATTCAGATTCTTGCTTATTCACAAAAAAATCTCAAACATGATTACGAGATGGTGGCACCCGAAACTTTAGTGTTACAGAAGTTCACTGATAAGCAAGTACGGAAAAGGCAATATTTAGTGGAATGAAACACAAGTGCAGCGCCGCTTCCGAACTTCATCCTCCTTTATCTTACAGCAAACGAAGACTGGGTGAATTGATGTGGTTAGGAAAAGCCGTCTGGGGCAACCGGTGTCGGTGAAATATTAAAGGTTTCTTGTCTTTCATGACTTACTGCTTCTTATTGGTTTCCACAACTCAGTTGAACATTTGGTAACGTTAACATTGCTAATTCTTTTGCAGTACCTGAATGCAGATACTGCTATCGCCTCCAAACTGCGTTGACTAATCACTGTAAACTGTCTCCAAATTTTGTCATTAGAGATTGTCCGCAGCCTTTGAAAACTACCTTAGTCGCTTTCCACTACTCTCTTTAGGCCCACTGGTAAAACTTGCTGTGGAGAGCAAAACCTTAAAGGAATTTGAAAGCATCAACATCTGTCTCTGAATTTACCAATAGAGTTTTGGATATCTAAGCCTAAACCAATAGCTAGCTAGAAACAGCTAAAGATCTCTAGTTTTTGGTGAATTTTTAAACCCAAACAGAATTTCGCTTTAATCAGTAGCAGGATTTTTTGATCGAAAACTTCAAAGAAACTGTTTAATTTTAAGTTGTCTTTCAACATCAAATAATTCATTTGTCAAAATAAGTTTACGCGTCTGAAATAATGAGGATCTAAGTGCGAGTCTTCAGCATTACGGATTTTAGCTGATAAGATCGTTCTACAGAGAATTTCTGGCTTTGAACAACAGATTAGAAGTGGAATAAACCTAATTCAGAAGCAGTGATAAAAACAGTATCTGCTTACTAGGCAACCAAAACCAAAGTTTGTTTCACTAGCGGGATGGACAAGAACATATGTATGAATGTAAATAAATGAACAAATAAATAAACAAATATATTACATATATATAATATTTTAGTATGCCTTGAACCAGTTAAGAAACTCCAAATATAAATTCAACAACAAAAAAGAATATATTTTTTTGATATTGCATTGAGAGCATCCTGCAGACAACAGATTTGAATCAGTTTACACGAATGAATTCCCGACTTTTTTTGATTAACAGGTAGAACTAACAAATTTTGACTTCCTTGAATAGACTGTCTGACAGATCAAAACTTACTGTGATAATTCAACTAAGACTATCAAAATCTGAAATATATTGCTATCCTGGTATGTAGTTGAGGACACGTAAGCACTAGTCGAATGCAAAGTGAATGTAAAAAAAGCCGGAAATTCGTGCTGTAAAGGATCAGAACTATCGATTTCAAGCGCGGAAAGTACTTTCACCGTTCCCAGCAGACTCGACCGAGCAAACAAAAGATCGCCAAAAAGTGCCTTTGTTACTGCTGCAGGACTTCACGAAAAAAATTTAAAAGAGCAATTGCTAAAGAAAAGCAACTACTAGTTTTAATTCTAGCCGACCCACAGGTTTATAGACCTTTGATTAGTTAGCATCAAGGGAATACTGTAAAAGAAATCGCTTCTTGCAGCGTAAACTGATTAAACTCAATAGTGACATATTCATAAAAATGCGGTTAGAGGAATTCCCAGTAACTTAAAAACGCAGAGACTTGAAGTCACCGGAATCTAATGCAGCAGTATTTTTGAACAGTTGCAATTTTATTAGGATAAGTAAAACATTTAACTTGGATCACTTGTCTGAAGAACCTCGAACAGCGGAATTTCAGCAGCAACCCTCCTCAATTTTTAAAGATTGACAGCCCAATTATTTTGAAGTTCAAACATTGTGATATTATCGGTAGCTGACAAGTCTCAGCAAACAAAAACAGAAAAAACTTTCTAAATAAAAAAAAAACGATCTGCCAGAATTTTCTCAGACTGTGACAAAAAATTCGATACTTTACGATGCTATCATCTATAAGACCAAGTGAACCCAAATTTTGCAGCAACTTATCCTTTTACCCAGCAGTGTCTTACCTCCCATTTGGGAAGAAAACAATTCTACTGAAAATTTTTTAGAATTTTATTTAAATTACATTTTATAACTTTACAAAACCAGAAGAGACAGGCAAAAATAAGGGACGAGACTTGAAATAATTACTGTATTTGACGTGACCTTCATCAGACGGTAAAAAGATTAATGGAACATCGATAAAAGCCAAAACTGGTAAGAATCGTTGTCCCCGTAAAATCAATACAAAAAGGAGCGACAGTAAACGAGATATGAGGATTTTTATTGATCTGACAGCACTCTAACTGCTTACCTGAAAAAATAAAGACAAAAAATTTTGTTCCAGTCAATAAACCTTTTTATGTTGTTAGAAAAACTTTTCCTCTATAGCCTGTCATCCAAAGAATACTCTTTAACAATACACTTAATACTTTTAAGAAACAAAAAAAAAAGACAAAATTTTTGTCACATTATGAAAATTATTTCTGCTAATTAAAACAAAGAAAATACAATTGCCAAAATCATCACTCTCTTTGTAAAAGCTAGAAAAAATGGAAAGAATAAATAACGACAATAAAATAGCTCAATAAAAGCTGTCAAACTCCGAAGTTATAAGAATCAAAGAAAATTTCTTAAATGCTGAGTACTTTAAATAAAAAAGTGCAAGAACTTTTTAGTTTTAAGAAGCTTTTTTGCTGTCCAAGATGAAATACAAATACTAGATGTGAAAAATTTGTTTATTATCGAACTGTAAGTAGCGCTTTCCTGACGTCAAATTCTCAAGAAAAACCGAAGGTATTAGGCTTTGAAGAATTTTGTTGCTTTTAGTCTACATTAATGCTTCGGTGGACCTTCAGTTCGACTATTTATGTACTGCACACATTCAGTCGGCCAAAAAAAACTATTTCTACAGGCGACAATAATGGATGACGGTGATGATGACTACAACAACGACTTGCTTTCTTCAGTTTAAGCTTAGAAATTACGAGCAACAAATATCCACAATGTAAATGGGATACTTAAACTCAGCTTTATTTCCAGAAAGAGCAAAGCATTCAAAAATGATCCTCCACCTAAGACCCCCCTGCATACCAGCACGCAACTACTCAGCTTTATGTCTCTCACAAAATGGCCCTTAGTGCCATCAGTCGATAAAGCCTAGGAATATAGTTTAAAGCTAGCTAAGCGAATATCTGCCTATCGTTACATAAACTCTTATTTCAGTCTCCAAATCAAATAAAAGAATAAAAAAAATCCACTGAAACGGAATAAAATGAACAGCAACGACGCGTATAATCGTGAGCAAACAGAACTAGATAATATGCGTTAAGTCTAATGTTCTTTTGACACCACAGTATTTACTCTCAGAAACTTAAGGTACTGAATCCAGACTGAGCAAAAAGAGAAATTTTTAAGCTAAGAGTGGCAAAAAAAAAAAAGCTTAGATGACTTCAGTAACTGTTAAAATAGTTGTCAGCAACGATCCATACAGTCAGTCAATTTGTGCAGAACAATTAGACAAGTGCACAACAATACAAACAATAATAACGCATCAGTGGAGCATCGTGAGTGGGAAAAAAAAAAACCAGTGCAGAATGGTTGAAACAGAAAGGAATAAAAATGGAAAATTTTACAGTTGACTATTTCTTCAAGTTTTTTTGTAACAAATGTACTAAAAAAATGTTGTCGTTGCTCACTTCAAACAACTTTCCTGTCTTCTTTCCTACCTCATTTCTAATCGTCCTTCAGCCCCTCCTCTCCGCTACTTGTCTTTAAACTGTTTTAGATGACTCTTGAAAAAGAAAAAAAGAAGAGCCAAGAGAACTCTGTGATAATAAGCAGAACATTATGATCCTTTGCTTTTTCATTCGGCCATCAATAAAAGACTAGCGAGAAAACCAGTATCAATCGATAAATAAGTTCACGCACAATTTCCAACCAGCGGAAGATTTGTTGATATTTGATCTTTATTCCGGACAGCTGATGTAAAATTCAAAATACTTTCAGGAAGCTGATGCAGAAATAAAAAGTTCCAAAAAAAATTTGGATCTAAGAAAATCAAAAAGTAACAAAAAAAAATTTTTTTCACATTAAATGCACACATTTTAACAACATTTCGTTCCGGTCCAATCACTCCGGTCAAAAGTAG